ACAAGTGTATGCCTCCCCATATCCTCCTACTCAAAAAAAAACTGTTGTTCTCTCTTCATCATCTCTCATTAAATGAGCATGACTTAGTTAGAAAGACCAAAAGAAAGACTTTGACCATGGCAATTGCTTATTCTGGACTTCATTTCTGAATTCTTTGGCTATATTTAGCACAGCTATAACCGTCATCATGCCTGAAGCCAGGAAGAAGACACCATTCACAAACCACCCCCTGAAAATCTGCAGTTGCTTCTGAAAAACCAGACTTCCCAGCAGGCAAAGACATGTGAAGTGGGAGAGATCAAATTGGTGTTTGCGTCAAGACAAGGCCTCAGGTACTTATAATTAATCTCTCTGCCCGACACAAAAGGGTCTCCATAGACTTATTTCCTCCTTTCTCCCCAACATACCTTCTTCTGCTCTGGTCAAACATCTTCATTATCTCCTCTGCACACTCCTCTCTGTAACAGTGGTCATCTCACTCCCCCACCTGCTTTTGCTTAAGCTTCTTGCCTCTTATGGAACCTTCTGGGACCACTCCTTCCCCAGACACTAGCAGTTCCCTTTCCCTACAATTAGGTGAGGCACAGCCGGGGAGCAGTGCATATTTGATAGCTATTCAATCGTTATTCAGAAGGCCCAGAGCCACTGAAGAAAGTGAACAGCAAGCATTTCCCACAAGCAAAAGTGACAGAATGTCATTCTACCACTCTCTGTCCTTCTTTCCTTGATTTTGGGGAAACTTGTACTGACCAAAACTGTAATAGTGTTCTCAAAATTCATCATACTGTTTCACCACTCCCCACCTTTGCATGTGCTATTCTCTCTCCCTGGAAGGCCTTGGGTAACTTCTGGAACAGCTGCTGGGCAATTTCCATTCCTGTTCAAACCCCATATCATCTATGAACCCTTACCCCCAGGCCCTTTCTCTTTATCATCGCCTAACATCTTTCACTATCTGCTATACGCTAAGGGCCATGCTAAGTGCTGGACACTTATCTCAGGGTTATTGCACAGTGCCTGCCACAAGGAAGCACTAATATTCACTAGACAAATACATACATGCACCATATTGACACCACCACCAAGTTAGAATTATATGCCTTACATGGGGTGGTTTGTTTTTTATTTTTTTTTTAAGGGTGGTTTCACACACATTTGTAAGCCTTACTGCCTTGCTCTGTAGGTAGGAGAAATTATCAAAGTTTACTGATATGGAAACTTAGTAATTCGCATTAGCCCTAGACCTGGCTTCCTTGAGTAAAGGTGAGAAAACTGTTCTGAGGAGCCACCTGGCCCACCTTATGTAGAACTGATACAGCTCTGGAATGTTATCTTACACACAGCAATAAATGAATAAAGTTATTTATTGCTTAAAGCTTAGATATAAGGCCTCGTATAGCTAAGGAAGTATAATAAAAACATAGCTTCTCAGTCCTTCTTTGAATATTGCTCCAATTTTCCCACTGAGTTCATTCTGGAAGCTTAAACCAAATCTTCCCTTGACATCACATACCCATTAACTTAGACATGATTTAGCATCTCATCATGCATCTTTGCTGAGAAAGCTACAGAGAAAAATATCCTCCCTGGCACCCAGCCTAGAGATAGCCATATTCCTCTAAATTCATGACTTGCAGCCTTCACTTCCCCCAAACAAGCCCCTGCTGGACTAGTTAGTGAAACCAGGCCAGAAAGGCTGATGCTACCAGTGGAGAGACGGGAGCCCAGCATTCTCATGTCTTACCCAGCACCTGCTCCTTAGGGTTCTGTAACTCCTCACTGTAAAGCTCAAACCAATACCCACATTAGGGAAAAAGAGATAATCAGTGGATGTAGTGGTAATCCGGTCTGTATTTGAAGCCTCGCACTCCGCCCCTTCCTAAACTGCCTGGCCACTGCCCTGGACACTCAGTGTACAACTCTCATGGTCACAACCCTGGCTGGAACTGGTGTATAGGTCCGCACCTGGGGACTCACAGAGAAGAGGGTCCAGGGAAAGAGCATGGTTACCCAAAAACATCTGTTGACCCTTTAAGGACCTGGTGAGGCCTCTGCAAACAACATCTAGCTCTGCCCACCTACAATGGAGGAAAGGGATTGCTTCAGATTGCTGCAGGCAAACTAGCCTTCACATTGCTCCCACTCCCCCTTAATTACATATATAACATATATGATGTGTGTGTATATATACTATATACGATGTATATATGTATAATGTAACGTTGCTGATAAATAATGGCTGACATTTATTGAACACCTAAAAAATGTTAATACTTTATATACGTTGCCTCATTTAATCTTCAAGACCCCCTCACAGGACAGTGGTTCTCAAACATGAATTTGCATCAGAATCTCTCCAGGAACTTTTTAAAGTTCCACACCCAAAGCCTATGGTGTGAGGCCTGAGAATTTGCATTTCTAACAAGCTCCCAGGTGATGAGGATGCTCTTGATCCAGGCTCCACTTTGAGAACAACTGCCACAGGGAAACAAAGATTCAAGAGAGACTTGAAATGTCTTGTCCAAGGTTCCACAGTTAGTAAAGAACAGATCCAGAATTCGAACCTAGACCTGTCTGACACTACAGACAGTGCTGGTAATCACGCTACTGTATGCGTGAATGTATACCTTGTCTTCCCAAATTCACTGGCAGCTCCTCAAAGGTAGACATCATACTTCACACCTCCCTCATCCCTCTTAGAACTCTGTAGTGCCCTTGGACTTGGTAGGTGCTACACAAATTCTTTGTGTACTGGCTGCTACATATCTACATACTTCTAAGAGCCACAAATTCAAACTCAATTAAAGCCAAAGAACATCAAAAGGTCAGCACTGCCAGATCTGGTTTTACATGATATTCTCTCTTGCTGAGTCTTTGCCCATGCTGCCACCATACTGGCTAACTCCTATTCATTCTTCAGTCACTTCCTCCAGAAACTAATTCTTGACTTCCTAAAATTGGGGCCACTGCATCCTAAGCTTATCTTCATGATGGCACTTATCACTCCATTCTAAGTGGCTATTTTCCATCTCTCAAAGTAGTTTGCAAGTACCAGCATCTAGTATAATATATTCTGAAAGCCTAGCACAGTGCCTGGCATATCACAGGCACTCCCTGTTTGTTGAATGACTAAATGCAGAGCTGCAAGCCCTAAATTCCACTTAAAAATATAATGTATGATGCATAGTTCTCAGTGATGAATTCCTGGGAAGAGCAAGGCAACCTAGATAACAAAGACCAATTTTGCCTTATCTCTTCTTCATCACTCCTCTCACACTTGGAAAACAGGCACTGCTTAAGGCAGCACCATCTATGACAAGACAACATCCTAGCTGAACAAAGTGCTCCTGGGCTACATGGTCAGCAGAAGCCATTCAGAGAGAAGGAAAGAGCTCTGTGCCCCCTCATTCCTCCTGACTTCTCTGTCACACACTCTCCTTCTCCAGCCCACTGCAGTCAAGGGCTTTGGCACAAGGAGGAAAGAAACACATCAGACTCAAGGGTGCGGATCTGACAGCGGGCACAGAAGCATCTCTCTATCCTGCACCAAAGCCCACAAGGAAGGATCCAGAGGGACAGTGACTCAGGCCCCGGATTAAGTCCAGCTAGAGCAGTACTGAGAATGGAAAAGAGCAATAATTTCACAAGGATATTAACTGTCAGATATCTTTTCTAAAATAGTGTTTTTAAAGTACAGGCTTCAACCCTATCCCCAGAAAACTGGGCCCTGCTGAATTTAGTGCTTATACAAGCTGAGAGCCAAACACAGCTTCTTCCTCTTCCCAACCCATCAACCAGCCTGCAACACTCACCATGACAAGCATGTCTCAGGCCTAGGTCAGGACCCTTCGTTCAACCTCAGCTTACAAAAGGCTTCTTCTTAAAGAGGCCTCTTAGCCTTCTCTCTTCCCCAGCTAATAAACTGTTCCCTACCACCATCATGTTGCAGTAATACAGGCCTCCCCCTTCCTCCAACCCCTCTCTGTCTATAACACAACCTACAGCGGGTTGGCCCCATCCAATTAGTCTGAATTGCTTCATGCCAAGGAAATTGCTGCTTTTATTAAAAATAAAAGCACACTAGGCAGGCAATGGGCTGTGAAAAGTCTGAGTCTGGCATAATTATGAAGGTCGAGGTTAAGGTTACCAAAAGACACATGCAAAGATTTCCTGAAAGCCTGGGGGATAAAGATATGTATCCATATGAGTATAGATATACAGACAAAACACACACAGAGGGAAACTGCACAGATCTACATAACATCCTCTCCAATAGAGGAAAAACAAGATCAGAGCCACTCTCAAGTAATTCTTCTTTTGGTTAAAAAAAAAAAAACTAAAACAGGAGGAAGAGGGGCCTACTAGACTGAATTCAAAATAGCCACATTCGTTTTATATAATTTGTTATCTTAGCTATATCCTGGGGACCTGATTACAGCTGGATCAGAAAACAAACCCAGTCAAATCCACCAAGAGCCTTGGCTCTTGGAAAAACACATTCCCATTCTCCGAAAATCCTCTCTTCCTTCCAACGCCTGCTCATGAAGTGGGAAAGTTAGGTAGGAGAAGCAGAAACCACTCTCTCTTCTTAAAGGCCCCCCCAATCCCTACCCTTCAGCCTTCACATCAATATTTCAAGTTTTAGGAGGATGACAAGCCCACCACCCTGCATCTGGTGTAGCTTTACACTTTCACACAGACGTTTTCTCGTCTGATCCTCATAATTCGGTGAGGGAATGAGGGTGGCTTTCCAACGTTTTAAAAAAATAAATAAAAGGCCACTGAGACAAACAATTTCGGCAACTCCCCGCACCCCCGTAAGCCCTGTCACTTTCAAATCTCAGTTTTAAATCTCTCAAGGACAATGACTCACAGGGCAAGTGAAGGGGGAAGGGAGGGCCAATTGGTCACAACCCATTCATACACTCAACAACTAGAAACCAGAGTCTTGCCGCATCAGCACAAGATTTTAATTTACGGCGCACTGAGTCCCACTGTACCTTCCGCCAACACCTCGTCCACAGTGACCTGCTGTCGCCCAATGCCAAAGACTCTTCCGATGTAGCCACTGCCCAGGCCCGAGGTGCTGCCCCCTCCTCCGCTGGAGCCGGAGCCCAGGCCAGAGCCGCCCTGCTCTCGCCGGGAGTCGAAAAACTTCTTCATCTTGCAAATAGGAAGCAGCAAAGCAAAATACCGATGGTTTCTAGATTTTTTTTTTTTTTTTTTTTTTTAAGGAAAGAGATCCAAGGATTTCTTCTCGGATTTCAGCTCGGAGAGGAGCCACCCGAATCCGGCCGTGGGGGTGGGGGCTGAGGGAGGATGCCTATAGGAATACGCGTGTCAATCGCGCGGCGGGTCCCCTCCTCCTCCAGAGAGCGATTCGTGTAAGTTTAAACCTGTGATGACAGAGGAAGAGAGAGGATGAATCAGTAACACACTTAAAAATCCAACTGCTGAGTCCTAGGGGGAGCAAAAGCCATCATCCTGGGGAAACGCTTCATGCATTTTCCTGGCGAGAAAAACCGTGGGGCTGAAAACGCGTCCCTGGCCCCAGAACCCGGGACCCCGGTACCCGGGGATCGGAGAAAGAAGGGATTCGAGCTGCTCGGGCAGCACCGACCCTGCCGGGCACTGCCTCCCCCTCCTCCCCGGTCTCCCCGCCGCCCCTGGAGGCAGCATCCTGGCTGCACCCACTTGAGATGGCTCGGCGGCTGGCGCCCAGCTACCAGCCTCCCGACATTGTCACGGCCGCCGGGCCGGCCTGCGACGCAGAGAGGAGGCGGCGCCGCAGCGAGAGCCGGGGCCGCGTTCGGCGCCCGCCCGCGCGCCAGCTGATCCTCCGAGCGCCCGGCGGAGACTGACCCGCCGCCCCTCCCCCGCGCGCGCTCCCGCCCGGCTCCATCCACCCAACCAGGAAGTGAACCGCCGCCGGAAGTGTCCCTCGGTGCAGTGCGGCGAGGACCGGGGTCTCCGCTGCTACCGCCTCTCTGTTGAGACAGACAGAAAGGAGTCGACGGAGAAAAGGGGACCGGGCGAAGGGGGTCTCACTGCAGAGAGAGTTTTGGAAAAGAGTGTTGCTATCTCCCGGGTCACGGGGCACCCTGGGAAAGGTAGTTCAGCGCAGTCCGGAGGTTGGACTACAACTCCCAGCATGCCCCTGGAGGAGCGGGCGAGGCGGCTGCCGTGGTCTCCGCGGCCCCGAAGGTGGTTAGTGGGGTGGTGCATATGTGGGCTTTCGGTAATTTAAACACATCCGGAAAAAAAACTGCCAAGGACTAGGTTTCCCCCTGCTGCCTGTTCCACCCTTCTAGAGCCATCTTCTTTGCGGCCTGGCCTCCTGGCACCAGGGATTCTAGGGGTTGTGGTTTCCGAACGTATCGAGGCTGACACCTGAAGTACGCGGCTTAACCGCCTGGCCCCAAGAGGGTCCTGTGGGGCTTCCCGACGTCACCTGGGCAGGAGTGGAAGAAAGAGTGATCGGGGAATATTGTGCTGGCAGTTGGAACAGGCCATACCGGAACTCCGGACCAAAAATAAAACGGGTGCCCTTCCGCCCCCAACCTCAAATGCTGCTTTTGCTTCCAAATGTTGTTGAGAGCTGACTCTGCAGTCGGCTCTGAGTTAGGCGCTACGAAAACGCTCAGTAAGACAGTGTCTTGTCTGAGAATGTACAAGCTAGATTCAAATGGAGAATCCGCTAAAGGTTGTGTGCAGGGCAGATCCTAGGATACCAGGAGACCCAGCCCGTTGGCTCGACCCCAAATATTGGAGCTCCTCAGCCAGTGATGACTCTTAATTCTTCCACCTTTGCTGACGTTATGGGTGGGCCTGATCATCACTAACTCCCTTCCACACAAAGACCCTAGGCTGACCTTCTGTTATTTCGTTTTCACTTTAAGATTTTTGCATCGTGGCTTATTTCACTCTGATACCGCCTGAGTGCCGAGGATGGTGGGGGGAGAAGGACTGTGTGATTTGCATCTGCCAAAAGCAGAAGATTTGGAAGGCTAGTTGGTACCCTTCTTCCTCACTAGATTTCCTGAAAGACGATGCTGAAGGTAGTGCCAAAAAAGAAACCCTGATTTTTCTAACCCCGGAATATAGGTTATTTTTCACCTCCACCGGCTCTCCCGACCCCCTAATGCTGCAGCAGCCTTCTGGGCTTGTATTTAAGCACAGAATTTTTTCAGCAGGTATTTGAGGAGAGTAGAGAACGGTGCCCCAGGGGAAAAAAAATGGTTCTTGTTTTCTCTAATCTGAATATCGAACTGAGCTGAGACTGGGCTAACACTGGTGTTTGCTGCTGCTGCTGCTGCTGCTTGTTTAAAATAATGCCACTGTAATTAAACTCCCTGTGTACAGATAGCATCTTTTCTTCTAGAGAGAAGTCAATGTTGTTACCTCAGTTCACAAATTATTGCAGCCACCTCCAGGGTGAAATGCAGCACCTATTAAAAGTTTCCCTCAAAACAAGCCCACGAAGACATGTTCTCTGCATTTTCCTTAAAAGGCCAGATTTCTGTCTAAGGAAATTTGGAATAAATCTTAAAATAGTTGGGAAAGCTCCTTTAGAATTAGACTCATTGACCCCCATTTTTCTCAGCACCTATTGGTTTTGACTGACTTTTCTAAAGAAGAAGCTTTATTAGGTCCTAGAATCTGTTGCTATGTATCAGTTTTTACTTTTCTGGACTTTCCCAGTAGCAGACTAGGCCAGGCTTACACCAATCTCAAATCTCACTTTTCAGAGATACAAAAACTTCCAATAGGATTAAGGTAGCTAACATATATTTACTGAACACCCACCTGGATGTTCTGATCAGAATCTGAGGGGAGAGGTTTAAAACAACAAAAACAAAACAAAAAATTAGATGACTAGATTCTTTGCCCTCCAATCTCTCAGAGACTAGTAGCAATTATAATGACAAATCCACAGTTTTTCTTGCTTTACATATATTAAGTTATTTAATCCTCACAACAACCCTATGAAATAAGGTACTATTATTATACTCATTTTACAGGTGGGGAACTGAAACACAGAGGTAAGTGTCTTGCCCAAAGTCATACTTAGAGTAAATGGCAAAGCCAGGATTCAAACCCAAACATTTTGGCTTCAGTGCCCAGTGCTTAACTGGCTACACTAAACTATCTACTTAAAAAGAGCAAACAGGCCAGGTGTGGTGGCTCATGCCTGTAATCCCAGAACTTCTGGGGGATCACCTGAGGCCAGGAGTTTGAGGTTACAGTGAGCTATGATCACTGTACTCCAGTCTGGGCAAAAGAGCGAGACCCTGTCAGAAAAAAAGAAAAGCCAACATTAACTGATGAAAAGATATGAGAATAGTTAGAAACATATCTACAAGCAGCATAGGACCAGGAGACAGGAAACCCGTGCCACTTCATAACTCTGACCCTAAACCACGGATCTCTGGGCCTATTTTCTCAGCCATAAAACCACAGCTCTCTTACAACTCTTAGTAATTTTCTAGTTCCTGAGTATAAAATAATCAACAGATGAGCCACCATAATCTCAAAACTCCTACCACACTTACTTTCTGGATAATTGGCCCCACCCTGCCTTGCATTCCTATTAAAGTTTTCATGTATGTTGCCATTTTAATTAAGAGCCTGGAAGTTAGGGAACACTCTTCTATGTATCTCCTTGAACGTCCAATGTGATAGTTTATATAGAATGTATTCTTACCAGTACTTAAATAAACTAAATAATTGACTTCAAATTAAATGTGACACAAAAGAGAGCAATTTGATTAAAGTGGAAAGATTGAAGTATTCTAGATTAGGTGAGCTTTTGAACTAGGTCAAAATATTATGGATAAATACCCAATTAAAGAAAATGGGAGGCCGGGTATGGTGGCTCAGGCCTGTAACCCCAGCACTCTGGGAGGCCGAGGTGGGAGGATTGCTGGAGGTCAGGAGTTGAAGACCAGCCTGAGCAAGAGCAAGACCTCATATCTATTAAAAATAGAAAGAAATTAGCTGGACAACAAAAAATATATAGAAAAAGTTAGCCGGGCATGGTGGCATATGCCTGTTGTCCCAGCTACTTGGGAGGCTGAGGCAGAAGGATTGCTTGAGCCCAGGAGTTTGAGGTTGCTGTGAGCTAGGCTGACGTCACAGCACTCTAGCACAGGCAACAGAGCGAGACTCTGTCTCCAAAAGAAAACAGAAAAAAAATTAGCAAAATTAGCAGGGCAACTGAAAATAGAAACAAAAAATTAGCTGGGTGTGGTGATGAGCACCTGTAGCCCCAGCTACTGGGGAGGCTAAGGCAGGAGGATCGCTTAAGCCCGGGAGTCTGAGATTGCTGTGAGCTAGGCTGATGCCACAGGCACCCCAACCCCGGGCAACAGAGTGAGACTTTGTCTCAAAAAAATAAATAAATAAAAGGAAATGGGAAAGGAAACAGACATTTACTATGTATCTTCCATATGCCAGTTACTGTATTACACACTTAATATATTATCTTGTTTAATCCTCATGGCTGCATCCCTACAAAGTGGATACTATTATCTATTTTATCAAAGTAGATAAGGTTATACTATTATCCCCAATTTTATAGATGAAAAATGGAGGTTTTGTTAGTAGCAGACAGACATGTATGGCTTGTTAGGTTTGGAGGAAATGATTCGACCTATGGTGCAGCTAAATCATGTCACGGTTAACCCACTTAGGGAAACAACGTGCTGCATCTTTACAGAAAATCAAAGGGAAGGGGACCAACATTAATTAAAGACCTTAACTAAGCCGAGCACTGTTTTGGGTATTTAATCACATCATTTAACCTTCACAATGTATCTATGAGGTATGCGTAACTTTTATTTTATCACTGTGGAAACAGAGCCTGAGCAGGGTTAGTATGTCTACTGTTGCTCCACACAGCCTGCAAAGGTCAGAGCCGGAATCAGATCAGACTGACCTCGAAACCCACGTCATTTTCACTACACTACGTGGTCTTTCTATGTTGCCATCTATTAGCCCAGTGGAACTTGTTGGAAGTGCAGATTCTCTTGCCCCATCCAGACCTACTGAATGGGAGAGAGGGGCAGAGGCAGCAGTTTCTTTTCATAAACTGTCCAGGTAATTCTAATACAGATTCAACTTTGAGAACCATTGTTGAGTAGATGGGGACTTGTAACAACCATTTCCCTTCTTTAAAAATTACATTTCCTAGGCCCGGCGCGGTGGCTCACGCCTGTAATCCTAGCACTCTGGGAGGCTGAGGCCGGCGGATCGTTCTGAGCTCAGGAGTTCGAGACCAGCCTGAGCAAGAGTGACACCCCGTCTCTACCAAAAAATGGAAAGAAATTAATTGGACAGCTAAAAATATATGTAGAAAAAACTAGCCGGGCATGGTGGCGTGTGCCTGTGGTCCCAGCTACTCGGGCGGCTGAGACAGTAGGATTGCTTGAGCCCAGGAGTTTGAGGTTGCTGTGAGCTAGGCTGACGCCACAGCACTTGCCCCAGGCAAGAGAGTGAGACTCTGTCTCAAAAAAAAAAAAAATTACATTTCCTGATTTTATTTTTGTATTCTGATTAGGAAAGTAATTATGTACTCATTGAGGAAAGTGTATAGAAGAAAATAAAAATTAACTGTAATTCTACCATTCAGCGATGACTGCTATTGACATTTTAATCAATTTCCTTTTAGCATTTTTTCCACATTTAAATACATTTTTACCACATTAGATCACATTGTAAATTTAAGTAGGAATCAGTGGTTTATTTTCATTCATTTTTATTTTGCATTTTCTCATAAGTGTAAAAATATTCTCTGTATTTGTGATTATGTCCATTTCTTATTCTTAATTTTTTATATTTGTGTTTTCTCCCGTGTTATT